AACCCAGATCTAACAGATAGAAGGGGAACCCTGCCATCGGGAAAATGGGAGACGAAAACAGCAACCCTAACGTCAGCAGCACAGTGCCCACAGGCACGTGTTCACAGGGCATTCACGTCTGCCTACCACTTTGACTCTGTGAGGTATCGAGAAAGACGGCAGCGTCCACCCCACAGTCAGAGAAACCGAGGCTCACACGGCTGTCCCGGCATCACAAGCACTCCGTCCCTGCCCACCCTGTAGAGGGAGACTTCATTTTGCAGAGAAGGAAACTGTTAGAAAGTTGGCGTCTGCCGAAGTTCACATGGCTACAGAGAAGAGGGGAACTTGGGGGGGAGGGGGCGCTGTGCCTTCTGCTGGCTCCGAGGCAGAGACCCCTCTCCGGGGGTGTGAAGGGCCAACGCCGCCAGCCCCTGCCAGCCCGGGTCCATCAGGATATCTGATCACCGCATCACCTGTCCCACCACACGCCTTGGCAGGTGCCCTGCTGTTGTGCAACCAGGCACGCGGCTGGGGTTGGCGCCATAAAATCAACAGCGGGTTGGCTCGAGCTGGCTGATCCTGCCCCCCGGAGCGCAGCAGTGACAGCAATGAATCACACTAATGGCAAGAGGTGGCCAAGCCTCCTCTTCGTGGCCTGGAGACAGGGATTTCTGAAGCTCCTCCCCGGCGGAGGCAGTCCCACCTGACCTCTTTCACAGGGCCCAGGGTGAGGCAGAGCAGCCAGGGACAAGGTGGGGCGAACCAGCCCCAGCTGGAGAGCTCTCCCCCCTGACCCTGCCAGCCTGCCAGCCCGCCCTCCCCCACAAAGGAAGGGAACAAGAGCCCAGTGACCTTGGGGTGTGCTTCAGCCAGCACCCCTCACCACCCCACCTCCCTGCCGCTTGCCCTCTCTCTCTGACTCCCTTCCAAGAGCAATTTGGCAGGTCCTAATCGGAGACCCACAGGAAAAAACAGAGGGCGCCTGGCCAGAAGGCAGACTGACCTATTTTTACAGCGGCGTTAGGAACACAAACACCTCCACGCAGGGCCTTGAAAATCTTTGGAGTGGAATTCACGAAAGGTGGGGGCAGGGGGGCAGCTGGGAGACAAATATGCAGGGCACCCAAGATCTCTGAGGACGCCCAGGGGACCAGCATTCCCACTGGGAAATGGCAGGACACAGCCAAGTGACATTTGCCACATTGATCCAAATCACAAATGCAATGAGTGTCAGGGACCTAGAGGCTGAGGGGACAGCCAGCCACCACCCTGCCCGCATGGAGTGCCAGTCGATAAGCAGCAACCCATGCCTGGACTCCTGAGGCTCCTTCCCAGCCAGAGAGGAAGAAGAGGGTTGTCCTACTTAGGGGGAGGGATGGGGATGGGTCCTCAAATTGAGCCTGTACACCTCAGGCATCCTGGGTAGGTTCTCAGTCTCCTCTGGCCAGAGGGTCCCATGGCTGGTTTTCCCTGTTTACACTTCCAGTGGTGGGGAGCTCGCTTGTTTGTGGCCTTGTGGCTGTGGGGCAAAGGACTCCTCAGAGGAGGCCAAGTTCTGCATCCCCCTCAGCCCCACTGGATGGGCTGAAGTCCTTTCTTTTTTCTTGAGAGGTTTTTGCTATTGAGCACGTGCGCTTGCCAGAAAGACAGAGAGAGACAGAGAGATAGAAAGCAAGAAATCACCCCCTGGGGGGATGGCCATGCCGCAATCCCTTCTCCTCGGGATCTTGGGCAAGCACGCACACACGCCTCGCGTGAGTTTAAGCCACCAGGTCCGGGACTCGAACCGCAGTCGACTACCTGGGAGTCCAGCACTCAAATTGAGCCTGTACACCTCAGGCATCCTGGGTAGGTTCTCAGTCTCCTCTGGCCAGAGGGTCCCATGGCTGGTTTTCCCTGTTTACACTTCCAGTGGTGGGGAGCTCGCTTGTTTGTGGCCTTGTGGCTGTGGGGCAAAGGACTCCTCAGAGGAGGCCAAGTTCTGCATCCCCCTCAGCCCCACTGGATGGGCTGAAGTCCTTTCTTTTTTCTTGAGAGGTTTTTGCTATTGAGCACGTGCGCTTGCCAGAAAGACAGAGAGAGACAGAGAGATAGAAAGCAAGAAATCACCCCCTGGGGGGATGGCCATGCCGCAATCCCTTCTCCTCGGGATCTTGGGCAAGCACGCACACACGCCTCGCGTGAGTTTAAGCCACCAGGTCCGGGACTCGAACCGCAGTCGACTACCTGGGAGTCCAGCAACATAGCCATTGCGCTAACTGCTGGCCCCATCCCCTGAAGTCCTTTCTATGTCCATGTATCACTTCGGCTCTGAGGCAGCAGGAAAGGTATTGACAGTCCATCTTATAGCTGAGGAAACTGAGGCATGCGCGGCTTCCCCAGGGTCACAGAGCTACCTGGAGGTCCTGCTTGTTGGGGAATGAGGCTAGCCAGGAGCTGGGAGTGAGGGGGTGGGAGTGCGGGGGCGCAGGGCCTAGACTGATTTTGCCACCAGCAGCGTAGACACAGGCAGAGCCCATGGAGCCCGTTTCCTCATCGCTGAAGCAGAGCCACCATCACAGAGGGTTGTGAGTTCTGAGCACGTCGGCCCGCATGAGTCCTTAGCCCAGTACAGAAGACGTGTTCAGTAAGTGTCCGCAGGGGCTACCGCTACATCGGCCGTCTCTGTCTTTGACGGTTCTCTCTGCGTCTTGTTTCCAGCCCACTCACCTCCACGAGGCTTCCTTGGAACAGTCTAGCTAGGCAATGCCCTGAAGGGACAGTCACACTCCAGATGTGGTCACATGAGTCATGTGAGTCATCAGATCACCCCTCCCTCCATCCAAAGGAAGTGAGGCGTTGCTATACAGCGCTTCGGTGAGAGCCAGCCTGGGGCTGCTCCCAGGTCCTCCCGCCACAGCTATGTGGCCTGGACACTCACAAACGTATCAGAGTCTGCAAAATACGGGACTATCCTACCTCAGCCTAGAGCTGGATTCCTGGGAGGAAAACTAAGCGGCTTAAGCCTAAGCCACTTAGTTTGGAAAAGGATAACTATTCAACATATATGCTAGAAATAACTGTCATCCCCTTTTATTACGGGAAACAATGGGACCTCCCCATTGAACTTCCTTACCCTTATTTTGAAGTTTAATGTTTGATTTTCATAAAGGCAGACACTCAATCTTGGGTTTTTTTTTGAGGTTTTTGCTACAGGACATGTGCACTCACCAGAGACAGAAAGTGAGAAATCACCCCCAACGGGGATGGCCACGCTGCAATCCCCTCTTCTCCAGTCTCCTCTCAGGATTTTGGGCACACACATGCACCCAGGGTTAGTTTCAAGCTATTGGTTCTTGAACTCGAACCCCGGTCAACTACTTGGGAGTCCAGTGACGTAACCATTATGCAATCTGCTGGTCCCGATACACATAGCTTTTTAAGGATGTCCATCTGGCCACACTGTGAAATTGCCACAAGGTCTGTGAATGTCTTGGCACCTAGCAAGTGTCAATAGCTTGTGTACCACGTTGAAGTGTGACCGGAGTCTTTACCCACCATGATCACTGAGTCGACCATGCCAAGCTTGATCTTAACGATGAGCCTCAGTCTTTGAGAAGACCTGAGGGCTGACGGTGGAAGCAGGAGCAGGAGGTAGGACAGGCACCAGGCGGGTCTGAGGGGCGGCAGGGACAGACAGCTGGGCCAGCCGAGGCGCTGGCACTGCGCAGCTCTGGACAGCCAGTGGCATCTAAGTGGGCTCTGACGCTTGTCTGGAGACCCCGATGCACTAGGGCATTCTTGTTAGAACAAGCAATAGTCTCTGCCCGCTGCATAGGGGCGACTTCCACGCGGGAGTGGCCACAGCTGTGTTTGGCGACAGTACTTTATGAAAAACTGAATTGGAAAGTCTTTGTGAGAACACTCTGGGTAGCCCAGCCCCCCAATCTCATGTGCTATGTCACTGCAGCTGCTACACACGTTGGCATGATCTGCCTGCCACCACTGTCCTGACCCCTCGTCAGAGTATTCCACGTGAAGACGATGACGGGAACCAAGTGTGAGGGCAGCACAAGAAAGAAGGAACTCCCTCGGCTGAGCCTAGAGGGCTTCGCAGAAAGATGGAGAAGGTTTTGGCATAGCCCAAGCGATCCACCCATGCCTTTTTCCAAGCCCTTAGAAGTGGCCCCAAAAGTGACCTAAGAGAAGAGTTAAAGTAGTTTCTTCCTGGGCCAGAAGGTAGCATGGAGGTTCAGGCGGCTGGATCCCACATGACCGACTGTGTGCTCAAATCCCAGACCTAGCGGCTTGAAAATCACTCCGGGCATGTGTGCATGCATGTCCAAAATCCTGAAAGGAGAATGGAGGAAAAGGATCGCAGTGTGGCCATCCCCCTAGGGGAGTGCTTTCTCTTTCTCGCTCTCTGTCTCTCTCCAGGGAGTACATACACCCTATAGCAAAAACAAACAAACAAACAAAAAACCCTAAATAAATCATTCCTCCCAGGTCAGTACTTTGACAAACTGTTGTGACTCGTTTTTCTCCAAGGTAGTGCACAGCAAACAAGTCCTACTACAAGATGGAGCCTGAGCCCAGTGACCTGGGGAGGAGGGAGGAAGAGGCCTGAGCAGGGAGGCGGGGGGAGGAGAAAGGGCGAGCAGGAAGGGAAGGTGTGGAGGAGGGCAGAGGAAGGGCAGGGAACAGGAGAGGCTACCTGCAAAAGCAGCTGAAATGAAAGCCGGGCTCTGTGATGTGTGACACAGTCCCAGCTACTCGGGAGACCGAGGCAGGAGGAACAGGACATGGCAAGGCCCTGCCCACAACATACCACATAGGACTATGCACACACACACACACACACACACACACACACACACACGCGCGCACACACACACTCGGCAGCTGAAATAAACCTCCTCTGGCCGCCTCCTTCAGCCTTCGCTTCCTCCCGCAGACCAAGGACAGCTCCCTTTGCCCCTGGAAGTCCCCTGGCCCCGAGAAAGCCCAAGTTCTACAGAAAGGAAAGGCGTCAGAGCCGCTAGGAAACAAGTGCTGCATTTATTCCTTTGTTCTGTTGAGGAGAGATCACAATACGGAGTACAGCAGTCCTGGGCACGGCGGCACGGTGTGGTTAGTTTCCACGAGAACACGATGAACAGGAGCGGGGAGCTAGCTTGAGTGTCCACCCTATGACATTCGACCTCCCGCCATACCCTCCACTGCAGGGCCCCAAGCTCCTGGGAGCCACTGCCCATGTGCCGTTCTGGCCCCTGACGGGCTGAGCCAAGGCTACGGGTGCCATCGCTGCCGCCAGCCCAGGGGCTGAGGGCAGAGAAGCAAAGGGCCTGACTGCCCGCTGCCCATGGCAGGGTGCGGGCTCCAAGAGAATGGGACTCCCTCGGTCGGCGCCTGCCAGAGACCCAGCTTCAGGGTGGGAGCAGGGGTCCAGATGCGCCGGGCTGCAGCTAGAAGTCTGGGGAGCAGGGGAGGTGGCGGGGTGGGGCTCCAGAGCCCGTGGCATTATTGCTGAGAACATATGCAAGGGGCACATTCCCCAGGGCAGAGTGGAAGCCCCGGGCCTGGAACCCCTGTGCGCTCTGCAAAGGGGCAAGGCGGGAGGAACCTGCAGTGGAATCCCCCAGGAGGAAAACGACCACAGAGGACTCCGACTGCTAAGAGACCTTCGGCACAGACTCAGGGCAGGGCAGGCTGCGGATATGGAAGTGAGCTTCCCGTAGGAGCAGGGAGGAGTAAGAAAGTCCATGAGGGTGATTAGATAAAGGGGATGCAAACCTTCCAGGTCCCAAGACGCCTGAAGACTCCCGCCACGCTCCTACCCTACACCATCCCTACATCAAGAGAAGGGGCTGGGCCCTCAGGGAGAAAGCTGACTCCTAGGAGCAGGAGGTGAGGGAGGGCAGGGGGCAGGGAGGAGCAGATGGCTGCGGGGCTCAGCCCCCGCCCAGGAAGCGAGGCCACAGTTCACTAACACGGTACCATCCACGGACAGGTAGCCACGAAGACCACAGTCAGCAAACACACAGACAGACACACAGACAATTACTGGAGCGGGACAGACGGCAGGCTGCGGCGGGGAGGTTAGTGTGGCCGCATCGCTGAGTGAGGAAGGGGGCTGGGGGCGGGACGGGCACAGGGGACACGCAGGTTCTTGGCTTCTCCTGGGAAAGGTCGCCGAAGTGGCCGGTTTTCTTAAGCATCAACATCTTCATCTAAGGGTCGAGGAGCAGCCTCAGGTTCCGGAGGCTGAGGAGGAAGAGGGTTCAAGTTCAAATCAAATTTGTGGGTCTAGCCCCATGGTCTAGTAGTTAAGAGGACCAGGTCCCACATGGCTGACCACATAGTTCAAATCCTGGCATCAGCGGTTTGAAAATAAACCAGGTAGACGTGTGGGGGTTTCCGAAATCCTGACAGGGTAGAGAAATGAGGAGAAGGGACTGAGGTGCATCCTGCCTGATTTGGGGTGGTTTCTCCTTCTCCCACCCTCTGGAAAATACATACACTAAATTAAACTAAACTTGGGCTCCTTTCAGCTCTCTTAACCTGGTCTCCCCTGATCTTTAGCATAGCCCCCTTGCCTGGATGGAATTCCTGGATGACATCTTTTTTTATTTAAGGTTTTTGCCACAGGGCACATGTGCTCGCTGGGGAGAGAGAGAGAAAGAGATAGAGAAAGGGAAAGTAAGAAATCTCACACACACACACACACACACACACACACACACACACACCAGGAGGGGTGGCCATTTTGCAATCCCTTTTCCATCCTCCTCTAGGGACTTTGAGCATGAATGCACGTGTGCCCAATGTGATCTTCAAGCCACTGGATCCAGGACTCGAACCACTGTCGACCATGTGGAAATCCAGAGCCTTAACCACTATGCCACCTGCTGGTCCTGACATCCCTTCTGGGGAAGGGAGGAGGACACGCCAGAGATGCAGAGGGAGGAGACAAAGGCACGGGGGGTGACCTCGGGGAAGGTTCTCTGTGGGGTCGGGGAGTGGGCTAGAGCCTGGCAGACGTGGAAAGGACCACGATTCAGCCAGGGACCCACCTCCCCACTAGTTGCTCATAGTCCTGAGACTTCAGAGAAAGGGGTTTCTGAGAAAGACTGTTTTAGAAAAAAAGACCATTTCATTTCAAGGCTCCCTCTTTTTTTTTTTTTTTTTGGAGAGGTTTTTGCTATAGGGTGTGTGTGCTTGCCAGAAAGACAGACAGAGACAATCCCTTCTCCTCCATTCTCCTCTCCGGATCTTGGGCACGCACAGCATGAGTTTAAGCCACTGGGTCCAGGGCTCGAACTGTAGTCAACTACATGGGAGTTCAGCGATATAGCCATTACGCCAGCTGCTGGTCCCAAGGCTGCCTCTTTTTGAACCCCCACTCCCCATATTTTCAAAGATTTGCCTGACCTGCCTGCTGTGACAAATGCACAGGACACGGCCACCAGCAGCATCACCACCTCCTGACGGCGCGATGATGACCTCAAGCTCCAGCCATTACTGAGTAACTTCCAGAGCCCCATCCAGCAGATGAGCCATGAGCCCCACTCTGCCACCCTGGGCTGGGAGAGGGACAGAACGGCACCCAGGAGGGGCTGGCAGGTGGCGTAGTGGTTGAGACACTGGTCCTCAATGTGGCCGACTGTAGTTCGAGTCCTAGACCTGGTGGCTTGAAACTCATGCCGGGTGCATGTGCGTGCATGCCCAAAATCCTGAGAGGAGAATGGAGGAGAAGGGATTGCGGCGTGACCATCCCCCCTGGGGGGTGATTTCTCGCTTTTCCTCTCTCTGTCTCTCTCTGTGTCTCTGGCAAGCATATGTGCCTTATGGCAAAAATCTCTCTAAAAAAGGAAAAAATGGGGAACCAGCAGTTAGCGTAATGGCTATGTCACTGGACTCCCACGTAGTTGACCGCAGTTCGTGTCCCGGACCCGGTGGCTTAAAACTCACGCCGGGCGCGTGTGCGTGCGTGCCCAAGATCCCGAGAGGAGAATGGAGGAGAAGGGATTGCGGCGTGACCATCCCCCCTGGGGGGTGATTTCTCGCTTTCTGTCTCTATGTCTCTCTCTGTCTGTCTGGCGAGCACAAGCGCCCTACAGTGAAAATCTCTCCAAAAAAAAAAAACGGAAAAAATGGCCCTAAGGTGGGCCAGCTGGTAAGGTGGTGGTTAAGACAGCTAGGTCCCTCATGGCCACCTGCACAGTTGGAATCCCAGACCCAGCACCTCGAGAAATGTGCCAGGTGAATGTGCACGTATCCAAAATCCCAAGGGGAATGGGGAAGAGATTGCAGCATGGTCTTCACCTCTGGGGAGAAATGTCACTTTCCTTCTCTCTCTCTGTCTCTCTGCCAAGTGCATGCATCTTACAACAAATTAAAATAAATAAACAAATAAAGGAAGGAAGGAAGGAAGCGGCCCTAAGGTGCTTTCTGAATCACCACTGGAAGCCCTCGTCTTCAGGCTACTTTCCTGAGGAGCATTTCACTAATGTTCTCCCAGGTTGTACCCGTGTGGCAGCTGGGATGCCAGCATGAGCCTGACACTGGCCTGCGTGGTGGCATTTCCTAGTGTCCACTGTGCCCATGCACGGAATACCTCACTGTCTCCAGTCCTGGTCGGGCTTGCAGGGCTCATCACAAAAGCTGTGTCCCCTGCAAAGGCTAGCCCAGGACGTCCTGGCTGACTCCCCCACCCAGGCCTGGATGAAGACAGGGGTGGTGACAGGAGCAGACCTATGCAGAGGGCACCTCACCTTCCGCCCGAGCTGCACTTCAGTTCTCTGCTTTCTGGGGCTCCGTTGCTGGAAGGAAAACCAGAGAAGGTCACAGTGAACAGACGCCTCCCTCACCCAGGGGTCCACCCCTGCAGCAGCTGCGCCTAGTCCTGAGGCTGGGGGAGTGGAGAGGTGACACGTGGGACTCAGAGTCACACAGACACGGGCACAAACCCTCGCCCTGCTTCTGGCTGGTACAGAGACATGGGCATGTTCCTTGGCCTGAGTCCCTCAGTTGTAAAATGGGGACAGTGCAGCCCACCTTGTGGGGCCTGGGCTCCTTACACAATGGGGTTTCTGCCCAACCCGATGATCTGTCAATAGCGGGTGGCACTAGAATAGCTTGCTGGTTGATGAAGGGCCCTGTAGAGTCCCCTCCTGGCACTAAGGGAGCTGCCTGTAGGGTGGCCATGGTCCAGGTGACAGTCTGTCCCTGAGTGCACGAGGACCCTCTCCCGCTCCCTCTGTTCCACCTGGCAGGGGACACGGCATTACCATTCGAGGTGATGAGGGTCTCCGCTTGGGCTTCCTCGTCTCCTGGAGCCCTGGGAGAGGAAGAGACACAGACTTGTCAGAGGACTTAGCAGAGACAATACAGTGTCACTGCTCTGCTCGCTGGGCCAGGAATGCTGAGGGTCAGCCTACCAGGTCCTGGGGGGACTTGAGCATTCTCACCCACAGCACATGTGGGACAGAAGGTGACAGAGTCGGAGAGCATTCACAGCACCCTTCCTCACTGGAGCCTGTAGACCTCAGCCCTGGAGGGTGGGCCAGGCTGTGCGGGAGCTTGGCGTGTCCTGACAGACGGAGCTCCTCAGGTCAGTTACCCTTGACCAGTGTGGGTTAATGGGGTGTGGCCTTTATGTGGGTGGAGGGAGTCCATGTGTCTTAGCTCACAGAGCCCCGAGCCGCACTGTCCCAGGTCCTGCAGGGGCCACAAGGCCCTCTGCTTTTCTTCTCCCAAGTCCAGTGTCTAAAGGCCTCCAGACAAGGTTCTAGCACCTTCTCACTGACTTCCCCACACCCTGAATACATTAGAAGAAAGCAGGAATCTCTCCCTCAAGGTTTCGCCCCAGCATCTGCCTGCCAGTCCTCGGATGTCAACTCTGAGTCCCCAACACCCACATTCTCTTTCCAAGATAAGAATCCGGTGAGCACTGGGGTCAACCAGGGGCCCCTTCCTGTCCCTCCGAGTGTCACCCAGGTGTCCACCACCATGGCAGCCTTACCGGGGCTTCTGATTGAAACTGCACTTGCACCTGCGACCTGAAAGGCAAAAGAAGAAAGAAAAAAAGAATCCAAGGCCACGTGGCTGGCTTGGCCCCAGCAGGGCTACCCTGGGAGTCTGTGTGGGCTGGGGGACCTGCAAAGTGCACGCCTGCCCAGCTGCCAGCGGCAATCCTAGGAGCCAGGGTAGGACATTCAGTAGCGTGGACAGATTCCCCACCACAGTGCATTTGATTGCACAAGTCCCGGGCTCTGGGGAGACCAGGCTTCCGCAGGGGAAAAAGCCATGGGGCACAGCCTTCAGAGCACCCCAGGGACACTGCTCATGTCCTACCGCCTGTGACCAGCCCACTCACCCTACAACACAGCGCTGGGACCACAACCCCACCCTTCCTTTCTCTTTTGTTCTTTTTCTTGCCACAGAGCAGGTATGCTCACCATAGAAAGGGAGAAAGCACCCTCAATGAGGAGTGTCATGCCACAAGCCCTCTTCCTCCATGTCTTCACTCCATTAGGATTTGGGGTACATACACCCAACCAGGGCCAGGATCTGAACCACGATCAGCCAGTGATCCAGCTCCCTACGCACAGGGCTTAACTGCTGTGCTACGAGGCTGGTCTCACCTTCTTACTGAAAGGAACGAACTTACTGAGGATGAGGAGGATCCCAACAGAGAAGAGGACCACAGCAAACACCAGGCCTCCGATCCTCAGGGTCTGGTAGTCTGCAAAGGAAGCAGGGGGCGAGATGGGAGTGGGCCGGGAGAGGACGTCTGACCCTCCCTGGATTGGCTGTGCTCCACCTGTAGGGCGCTTTCACTCACCATAATGAAAAGGGTCCTTTTCTTGCTCCTGCTCAGTTGCTGCAAAAATAAACAAACACGGGGAACCAGCAGTTAGCATAATGGCTATGTCGCTGGACTCCCACGTAGTCGACTGCAGTTCGTGTCCCGGACCCGGTGGCTTAAAACTCACGCCGGGCGCGTGTGCGTGCGTGCCCAAGATCCCGAGAGGAGAATGGAGGAGAAGGGATTGCGGCGTGACCATCCCCCCTGGTGGGTGATTTCTCGCTTTCTGTCTCTATGTCTCTCTCTGTCTGTCTGGCGAGCGCACGCGCCCTACAGTGAAAATCTCTCAAAAAAAAAAAAAATACACGGTCACAAGAGAGACAGCTACATAGCCTGGCCCCAAATATGTGACCTGGCCTCACACAGCCCGGTGCCCATAAAGGGCTGCCTGAGAGGCAGAGCTACCTGGAGAAGCAGGGCTACCAGGCAGGGCCACTGAGAACCAGAGTGGACGCGGCTCTGGGCCAGGGAAGTTCTGTGCCAAGCCCATTCCCCGGATGGCCCCTTTTGATTCTTACCTCATCCCCCCCAAAGGCCAGGCCTATTCTCCTCTGAGACAGATGGGGAAACTGAGGCTGAGGTGGGTTTTGTGACTTGGACGAGGCCAGTTATGATGGAGAGTTATGAGCTAGAGGCTGATAGGCAGATCTGAGTCCCAAAGTTCAGCCAAGGTGCATGGTGGGCCAGAGGGCTTAAAGGCGGACCCTGCAGGCCTCGTAGGGGAGGTGGACCAAAGGGAGGGGCCCCTGGCCACACAGAAGAACCTGAGAGCCCCCAGCCTAATGTCCCGAGGGCCAAGGTGCCCACCCGAAAGGGCTGTGGCTGCCATGGTGCCACGGCCAGGTCTTACAGGGGTACTCACCACTGGCCAGAACCGTGGGGGCCAGCAGGCTGCATAGAAAGATCAGCACCACCTCCATGGCGTCTGGGGACAGAGGAGGGAAAAATGAGTCTCTGGATAGAACTCCACGGCAACCACGAATGCCCAGCTCTGCTCTCAGCACGAGGCCAAACCACCTGAGCAGAAGGCGTTAACGTCTGTCAGGCTCTTACAGAAGAACGTGCATTCAGTCAATGAACTCGACTACACAGTGCAGTCAGTGGGAACTATGACTAAGCCACGTTGCAGGCGAAGAAGTGCTACTTAGGGGTTAAATGACACATGCCAGAGTGACAGCAGGGCCCCACCAGGCTTAGCAACTCACTCCGCTACCACACTGCCTCTGGGGTGGAGGCCAAGATCCCTGAGGGCCCTGGAGGTGAGTCCATCCATGGCCACCTATCCAGGGCCTCCTCTGTGGCCATCTCTGCTTCATTAAGATGCCTGGGACCCCCTGGCCTTCCTGTTCCATAGCCCACACCTACTGTTGGAAATTCTTCTTAGGGCAGTCCTGTTGTCTAGTGGTTAGGGAAGCCAGATTTCACATGGCCAACCATGGTTCAAGTCCTGAACTGGGAAGCTGGAAAAACATACCAGGTACATGTGCAAATATGCCCCAAATCCCAACAGGACAGAGAAATGGAGAAGGGATTGCAGTATACCATGACCCACTGGGAGATGCTTTCTCCTTCCTCTCTCTGTTTCTCTGGTAAGTGAACACACCCTTTGGCAAATTTAAGGAAGGAAGAGAGAGAAACAAATTTTTGTTAGTATCGGTGGGGTCCAGTCAGTGGGTGGGAAGGAGGACTTGCATTGACAGCACTCTCTTACAGTAAACTCTGAAATGCTGACACTCCCTTAAGTTTCCCCTCACACCACACTCCAAAGCACCCACATCAAGTGCTCCCCACAGGCTTTAGTTCATAACCTCCAGAAAGGCAGTTGGATTCTACCAAGGGAGTTAGGAGACTGCTTTCTGGGCTCAGGCTCTCCTTCCCCAGATGTGGAACCTCTGCTCAGGCGCTTGTTGAGCCCTGGTCTTCAGGTGGGTGGAGGCCGAAGGCAGGGCCAGTTGGTCCCACCCAGGGATAGATTTCAGTGGAGGTATACATACCTCACACCTGGGCTTAAGAGGGTGTCGGAAAGAGCCAGAGAAGGGAACCCAGACCAGAAAGCCCAAGGCTGTTTGCTCTTTCCACGGATAGTGAAACAGTAATGGCCTGATGCCCGGACAACTGTCTGGAGGCCAGGGCAACGCTTACTTTGATCAAGGTCACATGCTACCTTCCCTGGGCCCAGCCTGAACCAGCAGCTCGGCTGCCCTGCACCACTCAGCCACCAGGGGTCAGTATAATTGCACCCAGAGCCCCGCCAGGCACAAGCCTGGGACTCTAAAAGCCTTCCCCAAAAGACAGTCATTCGCTTACAATGTTGTCTCATTTCACATGTGTATGTCTTTTAAATCTGACATGGTATTTTATACAACATCATGAAGCACCGTAATAAGATAAGCACCCACAAGTAACTTAAGAATTAGAACTTTACAAACACTGTGGCATTCAATGTGTTTTCCTCCTCCCAACCTCCTGCCTCTCTCCCACAGGACATTGGTTTCCCAAATCTATAAACACACATGCTTCATCATCCCCTTGCTCTCCTTTTTAAAAAGTTGCTAATCAGTGGGTATATAACGTCAGTTATGTGGGTCACTCAGTGGCATGGAGGTTAAGGCACTGGATCCCACATGACTGACTGTGCAGTTCTAGTCCCAGACCCAGCAGCTTAAAAACACGCCAGGTGCACGAACATGTGTGTCCAAAATCCCAAGAGGAGACTAGAGAAGGGATTGTGCTGTAGCCACCACCCCCCTCCACGGATGACTGCGGAGTGATTTCTCACTGTTCCTCTCTTTGTCTCTGTCTCTGGTGAGCACACACGCCCTATAGCAAGACTAAAACAACAAAATTTTCAGTTATGTAAACTGAGCAAATTTCAGAGATCTGCAGTACTGCACTGTGTCTATAATTAACAATATGGTATTGTGCACTTAAAGAAGATGGTGGATTAGGGCTGGTTGGTGGCGTGGTGGCTAAAGGCTCTGGATTCCCACATGGCCAACCATGGTTCGAATCCTGTACCTGGCAGCTTGCTTTCTCACTTTCTCTCATTCTCTCTCTTTCTTGCTCACTCTGTCCCTCTCTGGAAAAAAAATAAAAGTAAATAAAGTTAAACAAAATAATTCTTTTTAAAATAAAGAAGATGGTGGATTGCAACTCTTGAAAATATATAACTCACGTACCATGAAATTTACCATTTTAAAGTGTACAAACCAATGGTGCTTAGTATATTTGCAACGTGTGGGACCATCAGCACTAACTCGGGTTATTTATTATCCCCACATCAGCCCTGCGCCCGTCAGCACGCACTCCACTCTCCCTACTTCTCCCACCCCTGACGACCGACCTATTTTCTGTCTCTACAGGCTGCCTCTTTGGGACATCTCATATACACGGAATTATACAGCACATGGCCTTTCGTGTCTGGCTTTTACTGAACATGTTTTCAAGGTTCATCTGTGTTGTAATATGCCCTGGTTTTTTTTTTTTTTTTTTTTTTTTTTTAGGTTTTCACCATAGTCACTGTGTTCACAGGAAACAGAGAGAGGGAAAGTGAGAAATCACCCCCTAGGGGAATGGCCATGATGCAATCCCTTCCCCTCCATTCTCTCAGGATTTGGGGCGTGCACACACACGAGCCCAGCATGATTTTTCAAGCCACCGGGTTCAGGATTAGAACTACAGTTGGCCATGTGGGAGTCCAACACATTAACCACCATGCCACTGGCTAGCCTAGTACTTTATTCCTTTTAATGGCCGAATAGTCTTCCAGACATCTTGCTCTTTTTAAAAATGTATTTAACACATACATAGATATGAATCAGTTATTGTTCAGTGTAGCTTTTTTGAACTTTATAAATATATAATGTAGTTAATAGTCTTTTTTATTGTTGTTCGATATTATGTTTCTTTTGTAAAAATCATTGTTAAATCATTTATTTAACTGTATTTATTTATTTATTTTAATTTGACCAGAGTGAAACAGAGAGAGGGAAAATGAAAAGCAAGTTTCTAAGTCTGGGACTCCAACCATGTGCAGCCATGTGGAAGTCCATCACCTTAAAAATCACCTGCTGGCCTCAAGGGCCTTAATTTGTTTTGGCCAGTTCTGTGGCATGCCTTGAGAAGTTTCAAAAACCAAGGACAAAGACCAAATATACATAAGCCAGGAAGTGTGAATGAAAACCAAATTATACATAACACAGTTACATAAATATTTATTTGGTCTTTGCCTGGGCTCCTGGCACAGAGCCTGTTAGTGTCTTACATTATTCATTGCAAGGCCTTTGGACCATATCTGAGGCATGCTAATGAGGTTATCTTTGGTAGGCCCCTGGGTAGCTTTTTAAATATATACATATATGTATTTTTTTGAATTTGCTATAGGGACACATAAACTCACCAGAGCCAGAGAGAAAGCAAGTCACATGTCGACCACGTGAGAGTCCAGCACCTTTACCACCACACCATCTGCCTGCCCCCAATCTTATGCTTCTCTGATTATCCATACTATCACAAGTAACCATAGTTCATTCCTTTTCAGTGCTGCATAATACTCCATGGTGCAGGTATTAAATTATCATGGACTGATCCAGTCTCCTGTCAGAGGATACTTGTTTCTTCCCCCCAATTTTGTGCTATTATAAATAATACGGTGTGAACATTTTTGTGTATATTGCCCAACACACATGGAAGAATCCTGTAGGCACTGCATCAATTCTGACCACCACTCCCATGAGAAATAATTTTACATAGCAACCCTATACAAATACACATTTATGTACACCAGAAACAACCGTATCTCAGAACAACAATTACCCTTATTATGAATAAGGTATTGGAAACTTTTCTATTCTATTTCCTTAAAAATAAAATTAAAAAAAGAAAAAAGACATGGCACCTTGATGGGCCACACTCTAGAGTATGAAAAATACTGTGTTCTAAAGAATAGCCTAGAAGTGAAGTTGTACAGTATGCAAATCGCCAACTTTACCCAACAATTTCAAATCGTTTCCCGACTGGTCATCCCGTTAGCATCCCACCAGCTGGGCTTAACTGTTCTCATTACTCTGCATCGTCGTCAGTATTGTCAGACATCTTAATTTTGGTCAATCTAGAGGCATAAAACGTGGTCTTAATTGGAACGCTTAGCAGTGGTGGTGCGCTTGTGTTTCTATGCCATTCCTATTTCTTCATCAGTGATGTGTCTTTTGTGTCTTTTGCCCATTTAAAAAAATGACTTGACTTATAATTATTATTGCTACATTTTTGTTCTAGTTACTTAACCTTTGTCATTAAGTATTCCAAGTATCTCCTACCAACTGGTGGCTTGTCTTTTCACTTTTTAAAATGATCTTTTGATGAACAAAACTCCTTAATTCTAACATAACTAAATACAAAAATTTTTTGTGTCTTAATATATTTTTTCTCATTTTTGAAGTCAGAAGGAATTTTCACTTGAAACATCTTAAGCTTTGTCTTTTAAAGTAAAATCTTTAGTCCATCTAGAATGTTTGTATCTGGTGTGAGGTAGGGATCTAAGTTTACTTTTTCCCTATTGATAACCAGTTGTCTTGCCACCATTTGTTGACACTCCCTTCCCTTTCCTCATGATGTATAACACCACTTTTGTCATATATCTGGTTTCTATTTAGGTGTGGGTCTGTTTCTAGGCTTTCTCTTTGGATCAGTTTGTCTGTACTCACATTAAAATAACAATATCTTAGTTACTAAAGCTTTATAGTAATCTTGTCATGTGGTAGGAGAAACTTTAATCTTCTCTCTTCTTTTTCTTCAGAGATGTGTTCACTGTTCTTTTGCTCTTACATAAACATTTTGGAATTATCTTGTCCAATTCACCAAAACTTCTGTGATTTTCATGGGAATTTCTTTTTTTTGTTTGTTTGTTTTTGGATTTTTCTTATTGGG